GGAAGGAGTATCATCTATTTACGTTTTTAAAATAGGTCAATTAAAAGAAAAATATTAAGTCAATATCAGTGCAGGTGGTGTTGGGGTGAGGCAAAATTCATAGAAGTGGTATGTGGGCAACTGAAGTCTGGGAAACATAGTTGAAAGGTAACCAGATTAGGTTCCTTCTAGCTCTAAAGGTCTGTGACTATGAAACCATTACTAATATTAATACCAGTTGCCATCCCTTATTATGTACCAAGCACTGGGCTGAGCACCTTACATGACTATCTCATTTAATCCACACAATAACTCTACAAGCAGATATACTATCATTAGTCTCTTTTCCTTGTTACAGATGAGAAAATTGGAGACTCACAGAGAATAACCTAATTTGCCTCAGGTTACACACTAGTAAGGGAAGGAACCAGGATTCAAACTGTTAGACACAGCTCAAGCACACAAATGGTGGTTTATGTGTTCAGTGTGGGATTAGGCTTATAATTGAGGAATTTCCTAGTTTAGTCTAACCAAGGGCTCATATTTAGATATTGCTTTTATACATAGATTTTTCTCTGTAGAATTCTGCTGCTTTATAAACTGTTACTTAGGTCAAAATTAGCTGGATCTTTAAACCAACTATGGGATTGGTCGACCTGAGAGTCAACTCCCTTTAAGGCAAGTTTTCAATTAGCCAAGGAAGACATAGTGCTGTCAAGGGTTGACAGTCTGACCAAGAGCTCCTTTCTGCTCAGGGTCATTTCTCAGGAAAGGTTGTTGGGAGATGGGCGCATTCCACCAGCTGGCGGCTACACCAGTGACCTTTAATACTGGTTTAGCTTAAATACATTTTGACATTCAAACAAATTAATGTATTTTTACAAGGTGGGGCAACCACCACAAATTAGGCCAAATGGTTTGCCTGTAGGCCGGGTCACTAGGCAGAGTTTACAGAGCTTCACTGCTGCTCTTCAATCTCTTTCTGCTCCCACCTCCAAAAGTAAGCATTTATTTCCCCCTAGAAACCACTTGGACAAATGCCAGCTGCTCTCAGGGATTAACCTTGGCCCCACCTCAGTAGCATATAATTCTGGGGTCTCTTTGCAACTAATAGATGCTAATTCTGACTGCCAGAATCAGCTCAAAGACCGCACTCTATATGTTAGGTTGTGTGTTATGGAAATGCCTTGGTAAATATATTCTTTCTATTGTGTGGGTATAAGGCACCAGCTCCTTGAAAAATTACCTGGAAATGGGAGTATTTAACATGAGAAGGACATAAAAGGAATTGACAACCTAAGAGAGGTGGAAAGGTCCAGCTTCTGAGAAGGTAGACCCTCGACTACTAAGTAGCCACACATCTTTCATCTGAGCAGTTTTCATAGACAAGCTACCCAGCCAAATCAAATGGGAATTAAAGGGATTCTGTGTAGTTGGTGTAGAAAGTGTCTCAGAAACACAAAGGCCACTTTAGTCACAGGAAACTGCCAGAGGGTGACTTATTGGATGGAAAAGAAAACAAACAGACACAATAGCTGGTGTGTTTTTGAGGCATTATTAAATCTAATAAACATGACACCAATAGTATTGGCTTAAATCAGGTTGGGCAAGTTGGAGAATTTAACAGCTTATTTTCCAACTACCAGCCTTTATCTCAGAGTCAGCCTTGATAGCTGAGAACAGAGTCCAAAACATGCTCCTTCTCTGGCCCCTGCCAAGTGTGCGCTGTCCGCGGCCTCTGCCCTGGCCTCAGCTCCCAGAGCGCAGATAATTAGAATGTCATTTCTGCCAGGTTTGTTTTTTCTGGGTCACTGGCTTCAGACTCCATCAAAATAGGAGTGTTGTAGTGAAATAAATGTATTTCCTCTTCTTCAGCCAGCCCCGGTTTATTTCCTGGGGGACCATGCTCCATAGGACCAGTATGCACAGACGGCCTCTGTACCAGCACAATAGCATATATAGAGGTCCAAGGCAGGGGCACAGGGCGGAGGAGGAGCCAGTGCCCTCGCAGCAGCAGACACTCACTCTCCCTCTCCGTGGCAGGGCACTGACATGCAAAGGCCTCAGTCAGACGTGCTGAGAAACACATCACCGCAAACTGCTCTGGGAGCTGTTAAGGCTGGTGTTTAATGTTTATCCAATGGCCTCAGTCTGAAAGGCTCTGTAGAACATGCATAACACAAGCTCGGCTTTATACCCCATTAGCACTCAAATTCCTAGCTGCCTAGAGGCATCTGGTAGTGACCAGAGAAGTCCAGCCTATGTGGAGGTGCAGGTGGAGGGCACACAGAGACATGAGGACAGAATGAGGTTGCTGGGTGTCTGGGAGACAGGGCAAGGAGCACCACATGACGCAATAGGGGAGGTCAAAGACAACCTTTGTCCTCTTCACAACATCACCGGTTGCCCTCCATATGAGACACAATTACACTGAGGGCCTATCTCAAACTGGGCTTTATTCACTTTGTCGCTGACTGCCATGTAAGGCCTCTTCCAGCTGGGGAAGGAGTGGGCCTCAGAATGCAATGACAGCTCATGTCTTGTTTTCAGACTTTCAGATTCCATGAGAAAAACAAAGCCTTCCTTGGGCTTTTACTCAAAGCAAAAAAGAAAGGTAGCCATGGGGCCGGCCCTGTGGCGCACTCGGTAGAGTGCAGCACTTGGGAGTGCGGCAGCACTCCCGCCGAGGGTTCGGATCCCATATAGAGACCAGTCCGCTCACTGGTTAAGCGTGGTGCGGGTGCGACACCGAGGGTTGCGATCCCGTTGCCGGTTACGGTACTGGCGCGACACCAAGGGTTGCGATCCCGTTACCGGTCACGAAAAAAGACAAAAAAAAAAAAAAAAGAAAGGTAGCCACATTACTGTTACTATTTTGACCTTGAGTGGGACATTTGTTCTGCCTTTGTCTAGCCTAAGAGAAGGGAAATAAAGTAGAAAAAACATGAGTGGTGGGGTGGGGAGTGGCGTGGAGCACGGTTCTCTGAGAAGTGCCAAGGGACAAACAGTCACTATTAAGGAGATGTCAGGGCAGGCACTGAGCTGACTCATGTCCAGAAACTAAAATGGAGCCATGTTTGGTTAGCCTGTTTGTCTCCAGTGCCTAGCACAGCACTTGGCAGAAAGTGCACCACACACACACACACACACACACACACACACACACACACCAGTCCTTTTGCTTCTCTTTTACATTTCTCAAATCCATCTACTTCTCTCCATGCTCACTTTGCCATCCTAATTCAAGCATCATCATCCCTCATCTCGGCCACCGCAGGAGCCTCCCAACTGTCTGCCTGCCTCCCACCTTGCCTCCTCCTCCAATGTGGTATCAACAACAGCCAGCATGATTCCTCTAGAACCCAAACATGACCATGTCACACCCTTAATTCAAGCCCTTCAGTGGCTTCCCACAGCCTTCTGCACAAAACTGGATATGTGCTTCCTTTCATTATCTGGTATATTAGCCTGCTAGGGCTACCATGTACCAGGGACTGGGTAGCTTAGACAACAAAAATTTATTTTCTCACACTTCTGGAGCCTGGAAGTCCAAGACAAAGGTAATGGTGGATTTGGTTTCTCCTGAGGCCTCTCTCCTTGGCTTGCAGATAGCCACCTTCTCACTGTGACCTCATATAGTCGTCCCTCTGTATGCACACATTCCTGTCATCTCTTCCTCTTATTAGAGAGACACCAGTCCTATTGGATTAGGGCCCCACTCTTATGACCTCATTTAATATTAACTACCTCTTTAAAGGCCCTATCTCCAAATATAGTCATCTTGGGGGTTAGGGCTTCAACATATAAATATGGGGAGGACACAACTTAATTCATAACACCTGGCCACTGTCTACCTCCTGGTTCTCATCACTCAGCACTCCCATATACTCAGCCTATATTAGCCTTATTGAATTATTTGTAGTAACCTAGATGGGCCACGCTGTCTCTAATCTCCGAATCTTCACCCATGCTGTTCCCTCTACCCATATTGCCCTCAACTTTGCCCCTCCCCTCTTAATTTCCACCCCATTCCTCTCCTACTGGTCATTTCAGACCCTACCTACAGGTACCATCTTCTCTTGGACTATTCTGCTTCCTGACTTCCGGTCCAGGTGAAGTGCTCTCACAACCTCTCTGCTGTCTCCTTCTCATAGCACAGAGAGTAATTGCCTAATGAGTCCTCCAAAGGCTCTACTCGACCATAGTCATTTCATTGCAGAGGCTGTGTCATAGTCATTTTTGAATCCCCAAAGCTTAGCACAAGGTTTAGCCCCGAGAAGGTACCCAGCAAACATTCACCGAAAGAACAAACCGACCTGTTTCTTTGCTGAGGGAAGGGGCATATGGAGTGAACCAGGACAAGCTAGGTGAAAAATATGCTACAGCCTAGGATTCCAAATCAACAGCTAATGAACAGTACCTGAGTACTCCACAAGATGGATGCTAGGTCTATGCTAATGGCAGGTGCTTTCCCAAAAGGTTGCCGATTGAGTAAAACTTCGTTTCTCTAGCACTCTGTTGTCCAGAAGCCACTATGACTTTGCTCTTCTATATATCTACAAGACAGTGAGAGAGATTTGTGTATCATAGCAACCCAGAGCCCTCATGTAGTGGTCTCAGAATCATCTAGAAGGCTTGTTAAAATGCAGATGGCTGGGGGTCCCAGACTTTTTGATTCAATAAGTCTACAATGGGACCTGAGAATTTTGCATTTCTAACAAGTTCCCTGGTGATGCTGTTGCTGCTGGTTCAGAGACAACACTCTGAAAACCACTGCTCTAGAGTATACTTCTGAAATTATTGAAAAAAAGAACTACGTTATGTTGGAAGTGGCGTAAATGATAAATGTGCTTACCAGAACATGTGATTAACCACGACACCCTCCGCTTTGCCAGACAACAGCAATGTTGCCAAAATTCATAAAACAAGGGGAAAAAATAAGCCAATGTATCTTTCAAGGTAAAGATAAACTGCCCCTGGAAAGATATGGTAACCTAATGGCGTGTGTTCTCTTTTTGCAGGTGCGATTAGAATGGCCAACAGACCTTGCAGTCAATCCCATGGACAATTCATTATATGTCTTGGATAACAACATTGTGCTGCAAATTTCTGAGAACAGGCGTGTGCGGATCATTGCAGGGCGCCCCATTCACTGCCAGGTGCCAGGCATAGATCATTTCTTGGTCAGCAAGGTAGCAATTCACTCCACACTGGAGTCGGCGAGGGCCATCGGCGTCTCCCACAGCGGGCTGCTCTTCATAGCTGAAACAGACGAGAGGAAAGTAAACCGCATTCAGCAAGTGACCACCAACGGGGAGATCTCCATCATCGCTGGTGCCCCCACTGACTGTGACTGCAAAATTGATCCCAACTGTGACTGTTTTTCAGGTATGACCTTTTTAGCAATTCACCAGCTCCCCCTCTCTGTTTTCAAAAGAAAACGTGCATCAGAAAAGTCAAAAGGAAAACAAAAGTGTGACTTGTAAATGTTGGTAGGAGCTAGTGAAGAAAGCAATGGTTTGGAAGTCAGATCAGCTAGCTGTTCTGACAACTGCCTCACCGAGTGACCCTAGGAAAGCCACAAAACCTCTTCATGACTCACTTGCCTCATTTATTAACTAGCGATAGCGCTTGTCTCAGTTATATCACCTTGCTATTCTGAGGATAAACTAGTATAGTAAAAATTTGTATACTCCTAAAAAGTCAAGAGTATAAAATGTCAGAATGTACAAATGTAAGATTATGATATTATTTGTGCTTTAGAGAAAGGAAAACTAGGTAAAAACCACATTTACTGATTTAGCTAAGAAAAAAAAATACTCCCCTGAGGTGGCTGGTTTCAGATTAAAAGCATGTGCTACTTGAGACTCAAAGGGACTAAGAGAAGACTGCTTTGGGAATAGATGAGCAAAATTAAATCCCACAATGGAGGGTTCTCAGGACATCAGTTTGCGACATTCAAAGCTTTCTCTAAAAATAGTACCCTTTACTTCTAATTGAAAGAGGGATGGGGTGGGGGAAGAAAGGCTTTTCCCCCAAATATGGATTGGGTATTCCAGATAGTAAACAGTCCTCTAAATGTCAACAGATAAATTTGGTGCTGGGATTTGGAAATCCCTCCATGCCACATGCAGCCCTATTCAACTGTTCATCCAGGCCCGAATGGTCCTCTTAACCTTTGCCTTTTTTTAGGCCAGAGGAATCAGGAGCAAGCAATTTGGTCAATAGGACTTTTGATCAATATTTCCTGTGTTATCCCGGACAATTAGTTTTATAGATATTTTGCTAATTTGTATCTTTTATTCAAAGCAAATCTAATGTTTATTCCAGTTATCAAATTTGATGTTCTGAATCACTGTCACACTTAATAGACTTAATGTACTTTGACAGCGTAACAACGGGAACTAACAAAAGAAAGGGCCTCTAGGCATGGTAGGAGGGGAAAGTCCTGAAACAGATCCTACAAGCATTGACAGGCATGCGTCTCATGGATTTCCAGCTAAATTATGTGTGGCTATCATTGTCTCCTGTTCTTGTATCTTGCAATACAATAGATTCTGAACAGCAGGATTGAGGATTTCACAAAATTGGTGTAACTGAGATAATTACATCTTACTGTTCATCTTCAGTGGTACTGACTCAAGAATTAGTCTTTTGAAAAATGGGTTTCAAATTTGTCAAGGAGGGCACGTGGAGAACATTGGTTCACTGATTGTTCCCTTTCAAATTTTTTTTAATTTATTTATTGAAACATCGTTGATTGTACATGTCTGTGGGGTACAGAGTTGAATATCATTACCTGTGTGCAATATGTGATGCTCAAATCAGAATAATTAGTATATTCAACATTACACAATGTAATCATTTTTTGTGTCCTTCTACCAATTTCTCCTCCCTGTTTTCCACCTCTGGTGGCCTCAGCTCTGTTCTCTCCTTCTGAAATGTCAATGAATTATTGTAATTGTTGTATCTTTATTCCTTCCTTTAAAATAATTTTTGATGCACAGTACTTTCTGTCTGTAGTATGTTCATGTAAATGCTTGTCATGCTGATTATTAAAATCAGGGTCTTTCTCCCACAGGTGATGGTGGCTATGCCAAAGATGCAAAGATGAAAGCCCCTTCCTCCTTAGCAGTGTCACCTGATGGTACCCTCTATGTGGCAGACCTTGGGAACATTCGAATTCGTACCATCAGCAGGAACCAAGCCCACTTGAATGACATGAACCTTTATGAGATTGCCTCACCTGCTGATCAGGAACTGTACCAGTTCACTGTCAATGGAACCCACCTGCACACCCTGAACTTGATAACGAGGGACTATGTGTACAACTTCACCTACAATGCCGAAGGGGAGTTGGGCGCAATTACCAGCAGCAATGGCAATTCGGTGCACATTCGCCGTGATGCAGGCGGTATGCCCCTTTGGCTTGTGGTGCCTGGTGGGCAGGTGTATTGGCTGACCATAAGCAGCAATGGAGTCCTAAAGAGAGTGTCAGCCCAAGGCTATAATCTGGCCTTGATGACATATCCTGGAAACACAGGACTTCTGGCTACCAAAAGTAATGAAAATGGTTGGACAACCGTTTACGAGTAAGTTTCTAATTCTCAATATAGGCTTTGAAATTGTATTGCGTGTGAAAATGGCTTAGTAATTCCTGGGTGTTGCATGCTATTTTCTTCTAACAACCACAGTAGAATAAATAAATAAATACAAAGTCAAGGAGAAAATTTTACCCAACTCCTAGAGTTCAGACCCACTTTTCCAGAGCACTTTGCAGAGCATAATAATAAAAGCATAGACTGAATGAAGGAAGAATCATGTGTGGCACTACAGGAGATAGTAATGAGTTAGAAGCCCATGTACCCAAGAAATTTACAGCATACCTGGGAAGACAAGGTAAAATTTCATTTAAAAAACAAAACTAGAGAATAGTTCTAAAGCAGCAAAGAAGCAGTGTGATTTAACAAGTATGTATGGAGCCCTGCAGGGTTTAATGAATGAATAAATGAATGTGTGCCCAGCCCAGGCCAGCCCAGCCTAGCCCAATTCAGTATAAATTGCTATGGGAGGTAAGAGAATATATTTGTTGAATATAAGAAGTGGACCCTGGAAAACAAGTGTAAAATTATATTTTATAATGCTGCATAGGAGAGGCTCCATTTCACTGGCTGCTTCTCTGAAATGTGGAACCAAATATTCCTTCCTGTACAGGCTTGGGCTTCCTCGGTGTCCCTGCACAAATCAAAGAATCCAGCACATCTTGGCATTTGCAGACTGAATCTGTGATAACTTTGTTTAACTGGAAACTTGCACAAAGTGTGTCTGATAGCAAGCTACTAGGAGGTGTCATGACACGGAAATAGTGACCATTGTCCTTGCCTTTTAAACCATGGACAACTTTGTTTGCAAGTCAACCCATTTAGAAAGCTGGTCTGTCAGCATGCAGGAAGCATTTTCCCCACAAAGGGAATTGCTGATTTTTTTTTTTTTTTTTTTGTCTTTTTTACTGACCGGTAACGGGATCACAACCCTCGGTGTCGTGCCCGGTTGCGCCCGCACTGCTCTCAGCCAGTGAGCGGGAACCGGTCTCCACATGGGATCCGAACCCTCGGTGGGAGTGCCGCCGCGTTCCCAAGCAGTGCACTCTCCAGTGCGCCACCGGGCCGGCCCGGAATTGCTGAATTTTTAACCAACATACTGAGTGAGGACAATCTACGGCATCTGAATTCAGAGTCTGGAATGGCATTAAAGTTGAAGAATGTGAGAAGTGGAGATGTTAAGTATGAGGGGTTCCAAGTGTGAATATTCTGTAAAAATATGAAGAGAATATGTCCAGTCCCATGAATGCCTCCTGAGGAAAGGGACAAAACAATTGGCCTTCAAGTTTTGGATCATTTCCCAAAAAAATGCCATTTACACAAAAGAGCTGGACAGCTATTTTAGTTTCACTTAGAAAAATTATTCAGTTGTTTTTGTTGCAAGTCTTCCTCTATTTTTTGAAAAGTTTCTCTTACATCTTAATAGTAATGAAAGCTACTGTTCACTAAAGATTTACTAAGTGCCAGGTACTGGGCCAGGTGATTTACATACTTTATTTTATTTGATCCTCATAATAACAACAGGGGATAGCTGCCCCTATTATGCTCATTTTATGGATGAGGAAACTGAGGCACAGAATGGTTAATTTGTCCTAATTCACACAGATGTCCAGAATTCAAACCCCAACAGTCTGGCTCAAGAGCCCTCATGTTTTTTTATTTTAAAATTTTATTTATTATTAGCATATTCATTCTTACAAATCGTGATATTTCTTTATGCCCTTTGCCCAACCTATCACTTCCCAAACCCCCTGCCCCCTCCCCCCCATCTCTAGTATCCTTAGGTTTCTCTCCTTCTGAAAGTTCAACGTACTGTTGTGGTCTTTTCTTTCTTTCCTTCATTCCTTCCTTCTTCCCCCCTCCCTTCCCCCCTCCCTCCCTTCCTTC